TGTGTGTGTGTGTGTGTGTGTGTGTGTGTGTGTGTGTGTGTGTGTGTTTCAGGAACGCGTATCTAAACGCGGTCGCAAACTGGTGGACTACGATTCAGCGCGTCACCACCTGGAAGCGCTACAGAGTGCCAAGAAAAAGGATGAGGCCAAAATAGCAAAGGTAACATTAGTATTTCGCATGGCACAGAAATGCTGATGTGACACGAAGAGTGTTGGCTGATAATAATGGTTTCACCGGAAGTCATCTCATTTCGGATTCTCGTCAACAGGCGGAAGAAGAGTTCAACAAAACCCAGGGTGTCTTTGAGGAATTAAATAACGAGCTGAGGGAGGAGCTGCCTGTTCTCTATCAGAGGTATGGTTGAAATGAACACGGTCCTCTGGATAACACTCAGTGGAATCTCACAGGATGTTTTGGGTCATGATAAGAAAAGTAAAGGTAGAATATCAGTTAGAAGCTGACGTCCATATGTCCTGTTGGGTATTCCAGACTTACAAGACGTACCTTGGTTATTTGGAACATGCAATATGTGAGAGGTTTGTGCACATGTGAGAATAAGCAATTTATGTTTATTTGAATGTAGATGGAGGTTTTTAGGACTGTGTCCGGGTTTCACCTTTTTTTAAAAACCTTTCCTTCGGCTTTCAGATATTGACTAAGAGTAACTCTGAAAGCATGCTCATTCTTTACTATAAAATGTCATATTTAATTTATGCAGAAAATGGTATTTTACGCCACTAGTAACTTCCGTTGATACTCTTTGGTAAATTGGTATAGCTACAGGTTGCTACTGGGGAAAACCAAAGCGCTGTCATCTTCCTGTTTTGGTTGCGCAATGGTTGAAATGGAGCCTTCATTTTCCCTAGAGATCTACCCGGTGGCAGACAGAATTGTATAGTGAAAGTGAGGCTGATGGGGAACTATTCTAAATGGTATTATTCAAGTTGTGCAATCAACATTTACTTCATAAGGAAAGTTATAGCAAAGTCTATTGCCACTTTAATCTGAACAAAACGTGCAGAAACATTATTAACAGGACCTGTTGCACTATCCTTGACCAGAAGCTTTAAAAAACAGAAAATAAACTGCAAGTCGCATGTGTAAATGTGCATTTCAGGCCTGTAAAAATGTACAAATGGAATTAGTTCAAGCAGACGTTTTTCCAGAAGGTGCGTGCGACACCTTAACCGAGCTCCATTTGTAATCCACTCAAGAATGGTATGTGAATGAACCAAAATATAAACTGAGAGCTGTCTTTGTGTCTGTAGCCGGATAGGTTGCTATGTGACAGTGTTCCAAAACATATCAAACCTGAGAGATGTCTTCTATAAGGAAATGAGCGTGGTAAGATAAGACACTTCCTTTTGATTTCCTCACTCTCATACTTGTCATGTGAATTGCTTAAGTTTGTAAAAAAAAAAAAAAAACACCCTGAAAACTCCGTTCCAACTTGAAATAATGTTTACGGTGTGTAATTTGGGTTGCAAATTGGTTTGTGTGTTTATGTTGCAATTGTGTTGCAGCTGAACCATGAGCTGTACAATGTGATGAAGAAACTGGAGACTCAACACTCGGGAAAAGCCTTCATCATCAAGGGTCTGGACAGGTAGGGCACTGTGTTGCACATGTTTCCTCATCTGTGGTCTCACCTAGTGAGTAAATTACACAAGACTATCTATCCGCCATATTTTGGTTCAATATGAGTATTAATAAAAACTAGCTGTTTTCTGGCTGTTCAGGTAGATTTATAAAATGCTTTATGCATCTTGTTTTATCTTCTTCAAATAGCATGACAAGCAAGTCAAAGAAGCGAAAGTCCCTGGTTATCTCCAACCCCATCCCTTGCAATACAGCTTTCCCAACGGACCACATCTCCATCCACTCTTCCACCGAAAATGGAAAAGACGGCGAGCCCTCTTCGCCCGTCCAACGAACTCAAAGCACCTCAGAGGAAACCGGCTTGCCAGAAGAAAGCAGCGCCTCATCCAAAGACGTCAACTCGTCGGACTCCGATCTCAGCTCCAGCGGCACCAACACGCCCCACAGGCAGTCGGTGTCCTACAATGAGACCAGCAACCGGTGTACAGGGAGTCAAAGTCCGGAGGAGGTGGAGGCAGAAGCCGACCTGTTTACGAACCAATCCGATGACTCCATGGCAGGTGTGCCAAAGTCAGAGGCTGCAAGTCAGGAAGTGTCCAATCCCTGTGATTCTGCAGATATCGCCCTGCAGAGTCCAGAGCAGGAGAATGTGAGTGACCCAACATCCGAGAGTCCAGAGCAGAATGTGAGTGACCCAACATCAGAGGAGGCAGGGCCAAAACCTGCACCGGTCCCCGCCCCTCGCATCTCCTTCCGCTGCACAGATAGACCCGTGCTCTTAGTCACTAAGAAGCAGGATGAAGAATTGGTCCAACAGCAGACCGAGGACTCCAGTTCCCACAATCCACCAGGCTTCCTTTACAAGGTACATAACTGTGATTTAAAAGGGTACTCACCAATTTAGCATTGCACTGCAATAATGTTTTCTGACTGAGGACCAAAATCTGAGACTTTGTCTTTTTTATTCAATACATTCTTATTCCTTGTCAAAAGCTGCCTACATTGCCCACAATGCAATATGCTCACTTCTCTCTAACTCCAAATCTCCCAGATCATTTTACATTTACAAAGTCGTAGTTTGTACAACTTTTTTTTTTTTTTTTTTTTTTTCATAATGCAGTGGTAGGCTACTCCCCAAGACCTGTAGACACACTGATGTATGAAACTGGTGGAGTTCCCCTTTAAGTACAGAGCTGGAGTTTGTGTGTTAGCTTAGTGTAAAGACTGGACATGGGGTAAATGGCTAGCCTGGCTAAAGTTTAAAATGAAACCTACTAGCAGCTTTTTTAAAGCTCACTAATGAACATATTGTATCTCATTTCTTTGATCCAAACACAAACAGAAATGTAAAAACAAGATGCTACATCTTTAGGATATAGCGAGGTTTGGCTTGTTCCCCTCTACCTCTAGTTTTTTTGTTAAGCTAACATGAGATTGATATTGACTTTCTCAGCTCCCCCTTTTTTAAAGGAAACAAACAAGTATATTTCCCATTGACCACACGTGACAATTGCAGTTTAAGGTTGTGTAACAGTGGCACAAGTAGAGAGAAGAGTAGTGAAGTTAGCGGACTGATTCACACAGTGACGCACAAATAGCTGGCTAAAGTTTGCTAGCTAACATTAGCCACCAAAAGCTCCTGGTAATTTCTTGTCTTAAAAGGAGTACTCCATCAATTTAGCATTTCTCTCATATAACAATGTCTGACTAAGGACCAAAATCAAAGAGATTTCAAAGTGAGGCCATGTAACTTCTGATAAACGGTGACCATGAGTAACAATTGCTGTAACAACAGCACAAGTAGAGAGACGAGTCACACAGGTTAGGTAGCTAACATTAGCCACCAGAAGCTGCTGGTGATTCCAAAGCAAGGAGCTGGGAACTCCCCTGAATGTGTTTTATTGAGCAACAGTGTGTTTTATCGTAATGAGTTCAACTTTTCATTCGTCAGATGAAACGTGTTATTTCCTCTTTTTTTTTTTTTTTAAAGAAAAAGTTGCTTAGTCTCACTTCAACAGACTCACTAATAATTGTTTACATAATTGGACTAGCATAGATTTTTGAAAACATTATATGATTTCAAGTTAATTCAATGACGTTCAAAGTTGTTTACAGGCTGAGAAAACATGAAAACGCACTATGCCATTGTAGTATACACATTAATACTTAATATAAAGAATTTTGCCTCCACTTTGATACAAAGTAGGTGAAGAGCATTCCCTTTGTGGTCGCTCACAATGTTTAAAACAGCTTTGTGCTGAAAAAATAGTCCCTATGAAAACTGTTGCCAGTGTGTTCTCTGCGTGTTTATAGGCCTTATATATCCAAATTATCAGAGACCATGAGTCTGTAAAGAGACAAATCTGTGAGCACCACAAACGGAATATGTTTACCTCCAACACATCTCAGACATCTCCAAACCTGCAACTGTTATTTACTAATTTAGGTGAACTGACCTTTTTAAAGTGAACTAATTGTTTTACACCAGGGGGTGGCGGTAGAGAGCCATGCAGCGTCCGAAGACGGCCTGCTCCAGTTTGAACAGGGAGATGTTATCCTGGTGCTTGCTGACACTCAAGAGGTTTGTGTGCGTTCTTGTGTACTCTTGTTTAGCAACTCCAGACAAAGAAGATTACATATTTTCCTGTCAAAGTCATGCAAGTATGCATCCTGCTGGTGATTTACTTTTCATCACATCTGTTCTTTTTGAGTGATGACTTCCTGTGGGTAGCGGCCAGTGGTAGCATCGCACTGAGTTATTAAAATGGAGTCTGACAGCAGGAAATGTTTCAAATGTCTAAAATAAAAAAATATCTCTACTAAACATCAGGAGCCATATTCACAAAATATCCCAAATCGAAACAATCCAATAACACCGAAGATGGCGAAAGATATTCCAAGTTCACCATCTAATGCCAATGGCAGTGATGGTGAACTTGGAATATCTGAGCTGTGAGTTATTCATTTGTATTGGACAATAGTTTGGCACTAAATCACCAAATGAAATAAATGAATAACGCTGCTTTCATGGCCATCGACAGATTAGCTGCAGAAATAAGTGCTCCCCATCAAAGCACTGCCAAAAACCCAATTTAACATTGTTTCATGTATAAAATCATTTTTTTAAATGTATTAAACTAAATGGATTACATTTGTATATAAAATTTGTAAGGCAAGTTGTATACATTGAATTGAATTACACGTTTATTTTGATTTATAATTAAATCAATTCAACAAGAGACATTAAAGTTTATTTTTATTTAATTTATGTTATTTGGTTTACAATTTAATGTCAACATTTTTAAATCTAATCTGATCCAATAGAGTTATTTTTCATGCTCTTATGTATCAACGAACATTTCCCACTGACACAGACCAGTCACATCCTTAGCTCAGGAGTCCTCTCTGTCTCTCAGCAGCTTTGTCAATGCCTGTTAAGAGGACACTCTTAGCCAGGGACTTAAAGTACCATTCAGAGTCCTAATGGTTAGAAAATGAAGTGAATACAACCCAAGATTTCATTGTCGGCCCCTTAGAAAGCAGGAAATCGCAGCAAAAGTAAGCCCTCGCTCAAAAAGCATCGGATCAGAGGGTGGATTTGTTTCTAATGTGCGTGTCTCGCAGCAGGAAGGCCTGGTGAAGGGGATCAGGGAGGAGAGCTGGAACCAGCACAGGGATCTACAAAATCACTCTGGGATCTTCTCGGAAAAACTCCTCCAGCCGGTTCAGGCAGAGTGAGGCAATAGTCACTCCTCAGTCTGTAATACTTTCTTCTTCCATCGAGCAGTTGGTGACTCACTCACTCACTCACTCTCTCTCGCTCTCTCGCTCTCAGGGAGTGAACCCATATGTTGTGGGTGCAGAAGCTGTGCAAACAGATGAGCACAAGTCCCACGTGGGAACTCACATGCTCTGATGTTGCAACTTTGGAAGGAAAAGAACATTTTGCAAGAGATGTTTGGATTGTTAAATGTTTCAGTATTTTTGTTCTTATTGCTATTTTTTAAAAGTCTTTCTGTGAAACCAAAAATTTTTGTACTGATGCTGTGATCTTCTGTAAAATGTCCTAATAAAGTTATATATATATAAAAGAGAGAAGGATGTCGTTCTTGTTTGAAATTCTGCAGTCGAACATGGCAAATGCCGTTTATTCTGTTGACGTGGGAATGACCAATTTAAGAGAGGCGGGTAAGCTACAGCAGGTACAGAAAATGTGATTTGCATGTTGTAAATACAGGACGTTGTTGCTGCAATACTGCAGATAAACAGCTTGAGAAAGGACTGCAGTGATTCACCTCAATGGAATGTGTAAAATATTGTTAGGACCTGGAAACTGAGAGACCCTGACTGATTGACTGTGAGGAGTTTATGGAAGAAAGGTCTGTCTTTTATAAAAATACAAAAAACACTCGGAGCAGGGACTTACTGCGAGTTTGGCAGCTTCACTGCGTGGAAATGGGAAGTGTTGGAGATTCTACACAGCAGCAGACTATACACAGACTCAGGTTTTCAGACTGATTGCTGTGATTGACTGGTTGGGTGTAGGCTTGGGTTGAGGTGCGGTTATAGTTGCCGTCAAGCAGCTGGGACTGTCAACACGGCAGTATCGCACACTTGGTCTGAAAATGAGACTTAAAAAAGATTAAACTTCTATTGCTGTGGTGTTTACAACGCTGGGCTTTTGAGTGAACAGCATGCAGGGTGCCGGAGCGTTCCTTTACCTCAAAGATAAATAACATGGCGTACATAACTGTCATTGCAGGTTATTGTAATTCAAAGGCATCTCTTTCAAGCTTTATTCACCAAAACCAAACTTTTGGCAACAAAAAGTAGGTGTTAAAAGTTGTAGTTCATTGCTGTTCTGGAAAGTAATCAATTTCCTTAAATAGCTAGCGTCTACAGCTATGCTAACCGGTCTGTGAGGCTGTAGAGGCACAGCAGAGCTATATGCTCAACTAATGTGGGACATTAAACAGTTTTCTGTGGTCATTCCACTTAGTCAAAACCAAATGGTGATTGTTTGTTGTTATAGTGAGGTCACACTTTCACGCTCACCATAGTGTCCCAGGCAAGTCGGTTTATACGCAAGTGTTTTACATGGTACACATAATAATGGCCGCAGCTCTGACCATCCTGCTACGTGGATTTTAATGGGAATGACGATGCTAACAGTGCTAACGTCAAGCTGGTATAACATCCACCATCTTCACCATCATATTTTAGCATGTTGGAATGCTATTCCTAACATCTGCTAATTGGAAATGTCAGTGGTTTAACAAGTATTTAGTTGTAAACCAAAGTACTGGACGAATTCGAATTTTAGTCTGATGATAAATTCATTCAAAACCACAAATGTGAAAGTCATGGTGGCCCTCTGGGAAATTCAGCTAATAAACCAAAGTCATAAGAGTTCATTCTCTGGGCACCATAAACATCTGTACCAAATTTCTCGACAATCCATCCAGTGGGCATTGAGATATTTCTGTCTGGGGCGACTGTGGCTCAGAAGTTGGAGCGAGTCACCCCTCAATCCCTTGCTCATCTAATCATGTCAGTGCGTCCTTGGGCAAGACACCTACCCCCAAATTGGTGTGAATGACGCATTGTAAAAGTGCTTTGAGTAATCAGAAGACTAGAAAGGCGCTATACAAGTATAAATCCATCCAGTGGTGACCAAAGTCATTGCCATCCTTTGAGCCATGTGGCTTGCAATTTAAGCCTTCTGCTCTGGACCATTCGATAGAGGGATTAGATTGACCCTTTACATACATTCAGTATCTATCTTCTGTGAAACGAGCACTTAGATTAGCTATTCACATTGTGTGGCTGATTGGGAGAAGTTAATGTCTATGGGCATTGTAAGAGCCACCAACAGCTATTTGCTGATTAAACAAACCTGTTTCAGCGCAGTCGACAGCAGCTTCTGATCATGTGACACGATCTCAATCAGCAGATTATCGAGCGTCAAAGTTCATCCAGCTAAAAAAAACATCTCAAATTCCATGAAAACTAGGGAACTAAGATAACGGGATATGATTGAAAGTGCTTTAGAAAAAACAAACCACCAGCTGCTATTTTTTTAAGAATGAACCTTTGAACCTCAAATTTTCATCACATTCTCATTCACTGATGGATATTTCTGCATAGAAAATGTTGAGGAAGCAAGGTGCAGGCAACTCTATACCAGTGATGTTGTTCGTGACCTCCGGTGATCAACGAGGTCCTGAAAAGGTGAGGTAATTGGTAACTTTAATGCAATAGCTGGGGTCGATGGCTTGGAGGCAGGAATAAAGGTTGGAGCAAAGGGTGCCTGGGATCTCTTCTGTTCCAGATGAGAATGTACTGCAGCTTGACTCCTTCAAAGTCTCTCTTATTGGAGTAAACCTTCATTCTGCACCATTCCTGCTTCATGAAATCACCGCAGTGACAAAGGGACTTAGTGTAATACTGGCCCGACTCCTCTCTTCGCCCCGGATTCCTGGAAGATGAGCATGAGTCAAAGCATCAGTTCAAGTCGCAAAATTTACGTTTTCTTTTTTTTTGTGTGTGTGTGTGTGTGTGATTATCTTATGAAATAACATCTGGATAGGAAGTGATTCACAACTTACAGGACCTCTGATTCACAGCTGTTTTTTTCCAATGATCGTCCTCTGGGACGTTTTCCTGAACACAATCTGAAGATGTTTACAACAACCACTAGCTCTTTTAACTCACAGGAAGCCTTTTCAGGTGGATGTTGGCATGGCTACTGTTTGATAGCAGCAGCTGAGGCTTTTACATTTCTAAAATAAAACAACTAGACAAATGAAGTATTTACAGTGTATTCGAGCATACTCTGATCCAAACTTCCTTGACAAAAAAAATGATCTGGTTTCATTCTTTCTGTCGCGGTGAAAATGTGCCAGTAGCTGAGGGATTGACGGAGCAGACATTAGTGTAGACGGAATCTCAGTGGAATATCTTTCATGCAACCAGTGGGAATACTCAGCGAAAGATCAGGACAGGGGCAACCGCACACAAGACTCCCCTTTTTGTTAAAAATCCAACAGTAACTGAGATTGTGTTATTTATAGAGTTGCTCCGTCACCGAGAGGTTCATATTGGAAGGCTCCGGGCTGTGCTCCAATGTGAATATAACGCATTGTTACTTTATCAACGAGGGGCCTTGATCCAGCACGAGGCGCGTTTCGTCTCCGCGGGCCTCGTGCTGCTCTGCTTGTTTGCGGTGCGAGTTTTCCTCGCGGCTTCCTCTGGGGAGCAGGCGCACAGGTTACACGGGGCTAACTGCTGCATTAGCCCGGGGGGCCGTTAAGAAGTAGCGTTGTGTTGACGTGGCAGACGATAGATAAACTCGGAAGAGGTCCCCTGGAGGGCTATGGAGTTTCAACTACATTCCTCCCCAGCAGAACTTTCGCTTTACGGAAATGCATATCTTACCAATTCTAGGGTGCACGCTCATACTGCTGTGTATGTATGAATATTTTCAGCAAAATGAAAAATCCACCCAAACTTTGACTGTCTGCATAGAGCGTGCGCTTTCAGAAAGCTAAAGGATTGCAGAAACATTGGTATGAGTCATGTGAAAAACCATGAATGGATGAGAAAGTTACTCCCTGGGGAAATGTTTAATCTGAATGTCTTCCTGTAACTATACTCGTTTTCCCTCTTTCCCAAAGGAAGATAAGGGGTCAGGGAAAGGTCAGAGGTCATGCTCAGCAACACAAAAACCTCCACCGTGGAGGTCCAGTAGGGTGGATGCGTGTGGACAGGAATTTGATCAAAGGTCCTTCAGTCTAATAACAGTCGTCCAACCTACAACACCACCTCCCTGCACGTTGTGCGTGTATTCTGCTGTCTTTGAAGGTACAACCTTTAAGAAGCAGCCACATGCTCCAAACAAATATTAGGCAGAATTTCACTTCTACAACTGGGTCCATACAATCTAAATTTAGTCATGAGTTATAACACCTACCGACTCATAGAAGGGCAAAAATACATAGAAACAAGTGCAATTCAAAGTGCTTTACAAATGAATGACAAGACGAAAACAAGACGGAAATGGAGAGACGATGAGATTAATGTACACAAAATCAAGAAAAAATAACTGAATAAATATATAATTGATAAAACAACAAAATACAAAACTAAATTAAAGCTGCGAGCAGCGATGAACGGGCCCTCGCAATCTGCAGTGCGTCGAGGGTGACGGCGGGACTCCGGCCTGCGCGTCCGAGAACGTCCGCGACCGTCCGCGACCGTCGGAAGGCGCGTCCGCGAGCGAGACGTTTTTAATCCCGCGTGGACCGCCTGATGCCGGAAATGATGCTTTGCAAATAGTCCGATGCTTCCTGTATCCGCTGCCTGGCGCTACAGAACACGTGCAAACATGCATCATGTAGCTCTGTGTCAAATGTAAACCACATTGTGTAAAAGTCATATAAATCGGAGGTGTTTATCACAAAATCCAGATTTCCTTTGGCCAGCAGTGAGCAGCTGTGAGTATTAGTGGAAATTAGCTCGTAAACATCCTCAGGCCATGAGTGTTATCAAGCATGAGAAGTTTGGGACCGTTTGGAACAAGTCCAGCTGAGTTACATCAGACATTTCCTTTAGCCAGTAGGCTTTGCGGGTTTACTGTAGCGCCCCCTAGTGGTCGAATGCAAAACAATTCTCAGGGTATGTTACTGGATGTGATGTGCACATATGCTGAATATTTTGGGAATTTAGAACAAATGGTTGAGAAGTTATGTGTATTGATATTTTGCCACGCACCTAAGAAGTGTATTGGTCCATATCTTGTAAACACAAAGATATCAAAAAGATTTTGATAACTTTTGATGATCTAGATCCACTTATGATCCACAGCAAATTTTGTAGAAATCGGAGCCAGCGTGTAGGAGTTCGCAAAAATGTGTTTTTTTCCCACTAAATTCAAAATAGCTGACTTCCGGTTGGGTTTAGAGCTTAGAGCGCCCGGGGCTTTTTTGTCAGTCTACATGTGATACATCTGTTTACCAAATGTTATACATCTAAATTTTATATATAGATAGTGAAACGTACTGCGAGGGCTGCATCGTCGAAATATTGTA